GTGGAATAACACTTTAATTTCACTGATAAAATGCGGTATTCCACTACTGATCATAAATAAACATCTGTATTTTAATCAGATTGCATTTTCGTTCTGTATATTAAATTATAATGAAGACTAAGGGTATTGAGGATATTTGTCGTTTTAGAGTGAATAACATATTTTATTTCATCGAGAAGCAAGAAAACTTATATTTTTACGAATGCATATATATAGCATGAGTGAAAATATAAACGTTTTCTTGCTTAGAGATGAAATAAAATATGTTATTCACGACAAAACGACAAATGTTCTATTTATTTTATGATTTTACAATCATTTTAGGTAAAAACAACATTTAGGTAAAAACACTTTTATTTCACTGATAAAACGTGGTATTCCACTACTGATCATAAAATAAAAACTAATATCTAAACATGTGTCTGATTTACTGTGTTTTTTTATCGCCAGATCTCTTTAAAAGTACCATTATAATTTAATATACTCTTCAAATAAAGTAGGGGATATTGAGAAACAATACAAAACGGCGGATATGCACTACTGTTTTTATTAGAGGTATGTTAAAAACAAGTCAATTGCCTACACATGAACATAAACAGTAGTTCATGGGCGGCTTATCTGACGGCCCCATTTTACTCGCAAAGAAATACACGGTCAAAAGTGAAAATGGACATTTTTGATTTTTGGCTTAATAATGAGTAATTGCTCCACCAATCCTCAGACATTCTGCAATTCGTCGTGGCATGCTCCTAATTAACCGTCCATTCACGATTTGAGGCACTCTGACCCACTCCTCTTGAAGTGCCACGGCCAATTCTTGCAGTGTTGTCGATTGACGTTGACGTTGACGTCGACGAACACGTCTCGCGATCATGTCCCAGACATGCTTTATAGGGGAAAGGCCAGGACTCATGACTGGCCAAGGCATAAGGACAATATGGTGACGCTGGAGGTAGTCATTCACGACACGAGCGCGGCATGGGCACGGGCATTAACATCTTGAAAGATGAAACGTCGACCTTCACGTTGAGCAAAGGGCAGAACTATCGATGCCAAGATGTGGTCACGGTAGTACACACCAGTGACCCTTCCTTGAACAATATACACGTCCGTTCTGCCAGTCATGGTGATTCCTCCCACATAGGCGTACCAGCTGGGGGCTGAAAGATATTGTGTTCTTGAATGTGTCCAATTTAACAGCGAATTTATTATTATTATTATGTAACATACTAAGAACCTAACTACTTTTTTTGGGCTATCGCGTGTCGCACGTGCAGCGCAGTGGTTCTGTTGGGGCGATAAGTTCTTCACCTGTGAACATACTCTCAAAGCCTGTCAAGTGTCCATGACTATTTATCATATCACAACCTGCAAAGATATTTGCATTTCAATATCCCCTACTTTTTTAAGAGTATATATTGAATGACGAAATATGTACTGAACGAGAAAGCTAACGAGAAACCACTTTTAAGATCAACTTTGAACCAAATGATTCCTGTCCACAAAAACACATGTTGCCCCCCCCCCCCTACGGGCGCCCACCCCGGCGCCCATCTCCACACAATGGGATTCTTATAAACATATTTAGAGATGTTTCATTAAGCTCTAAGAAAATCATTTAAATCGACGTAAACTCATTTCCGCCAATTTTACGGCCCCACCCCTCCACACACCCACCTTCAACCACCCACCCCTCCACACACCCACCTGCAACCACCCACCCCACCTCAAATCGAAACAGTTGTCCAGGGACGTCATAAACACTTATTTAGAGATGGGCAGTCCTAGAAATTTATGTTTTATTAATATATATCATGATGATCATTTATGTCAACATAATCACATTTTCCCCCAATTGTAGACATTGCCCCCCCCCCCCATCTCGAAAAGGCCCCCTCAAACGCCTGATCACCACCCAGATTCGGAATCTACGCAAAAAACTGGCCTAGAAAAACTTGGTCTCATAAATTCACAGCTCGGGTGGCGATTCCCCTCTTCAGCCACCGGACTATATGAATATTATAAAAATTTGAAGGAAGGAATATGAGTTTATAGCGTACCTATAATAATTTATGAGAAAAACGGATAGTTCGGAATCGGGTAAGAGTGCATATTCCTGAAGCAATCATCCGAGAAATCCCCCTCTGCCCCTTGCTGGATTGGCTTTTGAGGGAGTGTGTGTATTCTTCCCGTTCAATCAAATCTACCCCAAGTACAGCAACATGACAGCCTTTCGTTAAAGTTTAATCTGGTGTCTTCCTTAAAACTTTGGACAGTGATTTAAGGTATTAAAAACGGTGAAAGTATTTTTCTTCTCCATACAGTATTGTTTACATTGTATTAGTGTTGATAGTCTCGTTTGTCACGCAATTAATTTTTCTGCAATATTCTGCTATGCACTGGTTAATTGGGCATAATAAAATCGTGAGTCATAGCGTAACGTTATGTAAACATATTTGGTCCAATTTGGAGCTTTGTTTAAAATGTAACGATATTGTTACGCAGTTAGCTATTGGATGTTAATCGGACTATTGACCAGTCATAATTTGGAACAGAAACTTGCTTCCATTAAAGCAGTGTTTAGTGGGATTAGCTCTAATCAAACGATACACTGCGAGGAGTATGGTTAGAGTGGGACTTGGTTGGATTTTGAAGATTATCACGCCCGGCACGGCCTTGAAACAATCTCATTCCCATCGTGAATTTGACCTGGAACATTTCCTACAATCTCCAGTTGGCTTTCTTATGATAGATTTCGTCGAAGACGGCCCACCAATCTCGTCATTATGGGCGCCCCTCTGGAATGAGGCACCCCACTAATCATGCAGTTTTGGGCGCCAATTGATCAAGTCGTGGGCACCCAACAAATCTCACTCGGCATTATGTATTATGTGCGGCCCACATATTATATGTATTATGTGTCAATATAAAGCGCCCCACCAATGGTCACCCTTCTGGAATAAGGCACGCCACAGATCACGCCGTTTTGGGCACCCCATCAATCAGGTTGTGGTGTTGATCGCGGGATTCATTATGAGGCGCCTCACCATATATAACGTCATTCTCGTCATGAGTGCCCAACCATGGCCGACTGATATGGACACGTTGGTCGTTGGCTTCGTATTGCGTCCAATGGAAAGGGTGCCGATTTTGTCCAGGGGCGGTGGGTGTGTGTGTGTGTGTGGGGGTGGGTCTGTGTGGGTGGGTGTGTGTGGTGTGTGTGTGGATGCTTCCCTGTTTCTGAATAATTTTTTTTTCTCAAATATTTGTTCTCGAATGTATAGTCTGTTTAAACGGTATACATGTATGCACTCGAGTCCCAACACATCTAAGGCTCAAATAGAAGTTATATTACCTAATCTGCGTATTTTTCATAATGGCTGAATAGATATCTCTGAAACGCGGCAAGGATCACCCACAGATGATAGCGTTAAGAGTTAGCCTGAAAGTAGTGGAAGAATTTCGATAAACAGTGGCATCAATGTTACGTAGGTTGCTGTTGTTGAGATTTAGTCTAATGAAATTAATCGATCTCATAGTTATTGGTGCAAAAGCACCTTGATTGTGAAAATTCTGGACCCCTCATGAACCCTATAATATAGGTTTCAACAAAATTTGGTAGGTATGTTGGTTGAGTTGTGCTTGTCAGATTTGTTCATGTGCCAAGCATTTATTCAGTTGGGGAATCCAATCAAGGAGTTGAAATTTGTAAAAGGTTTATTATATGATTTTACATTATTGTATGAAATTTTCTTTTCTCACATTTCTCAGTAGCAGGCCCTATATTTGAATATTGGATAGGCGGTCGGTGAAAATAATGACCCGGGCATCATCAAAGCTCTGCACGCCGCCGAGATTGGCAACATGAAGGGACATACTATTTCAACATTGTGAACTTCTTGATTCTTCTAACACTCATGATGGACAGTAGCTAAATTCAGGATTATGCAGGAGCAACTTTTAACGACAAATTTCTATTCAAAGCTGCCCCTGCATACTCCTGGCAATAGGTTATTAACTTATGTGCAATCCGTCATGACTATTAGACAAATCACCCCCACCCCCTCCCTTCCTCCAATTCTATTCCTCTGGTCCATTTCCTGCTCAGTTTAAAATGAAAAGTCCTGGACAAGCATCACTCAATCAACACACCTATTAAACATTATTTAAAGCCAATAAAGGGTCTGGAGGAGTCGATAATTTTCTTTATCAAGTTGTTGTTTTACAAAAATAATCAAAATTCTCCAACTACTTTCTTATCCTTATGATCTTATTTGAACAATATTTTATTCATTTAAATTTATATAATCTTTATGATCTTAGGGTGGTCCTTACCACATTTCGAATAAAATGATTCAGCCATTTTGAGAAAGAAGCAGATTTTCTATAAAATATCTTCTGTTCAACCCTTATATGTGTTGGGACTTAAGTGCCTCTACTCTATACCCCTTTAAAACACTATGAATGCCCCAATTCCAATGCGCTCACTATTATTAGAAAAGAAACACTATCCATGACTTGGAAGCATACAATTTGACAACGCGTATGCCACTAGATCAACGTTACTTTCTTACATTATGCTGCATAACAGATTCCAGAATCCACCATCACCTCTATGGACTGGCTGGAAAGTGAATAGAAAGCGTTTGTCTATATGATACACATCCGATGCTCCATGTCTAAGTGTTAAAAAACAACTTCTGAGCCGATATCTCCCCAATAACAATACTTCTCAATCTGAGTGTGCAATTCCGATAGATGACTCAAAATACTCAGACGCATTGCACATGTTTTCTGTGATATGAGGGTCATGCTGCAGAATACATTATTACAATATATTGCATTATAATGTATCATGATAGCTGAAATATATGCAGAATAAGATTCATTGATATCTGGAATAATTTATGGTTGTTTTTATTACACATGTAGGTCTATAGTCGCGAAAATGCTTAATTTTTGTATGCTATCTCCTTTCATCTTAGTTATATCAGCTTGGAAATGGAATAATTGCGTTTCTCGTCCCCCACAACCCCCGAAACGACATTGTCGACATAGCACGTGTGTATGTTGCTATTGGTGTTAAAAGAATACTTTTTGGGCCAATTTCGGTGTTTTCTTTTTGAAGATCGTAAAATAAATTCGGGTTGAAGGTTGCCGTCGATATTGTCCGCTTCTGAGAGGGCACATTGTTTATCCACTTTTTAATATGTGTGTTGTCACTTTCCAGGTCGCAATTTTTATCCGATTTTCATGTGTGCATGGGATCAAAAGATCTTGTAAGGGTAAGATATTGGTCAGTACCGGACCGCAAAGTGTGAAATACGTAAAAGTTTGTTGACCCTCCAGGCGTCTAGATCAGATAAATTTAAACATTAAGTTATTTAAGGATCAACAGATCTTGAATGAATTCAGTCTTCTTGTTGATCCGGTAGGCGACTGTGACTAACATGTAGTAGACAATCATTGTCAAATATTTAATTTTTAAAGGAACACTCTCGCAGTTAAATTAATGGGGCTAGTGCAACTTAATATTTTCTATAATATTCGAAATTAAAATCACGTATAGGTCCATTTCAATCAATGATAATGCTCCTAATTTCCAATATTTTTACTCTTCTACCAGAGGAGTCGTGCGATCTGTGGTTTTGAGCGCCATTTGTAATGAACAAAGAAAACATATCCCACACGACAATGCTTAAATAAATAGCAATGGCTGATTCACAAACAATTTGGACTGTTCACGTCCTTCACAGAACACAATTGATTATAAATTACAGTACATTTTTTTTTAAAAATTGACTATAAACCACTTTATACATTCGTATTATGTGCTTTTAGACCCATTTTAAGGTTCGAAATAATAGAGCCATACATCACGATATACATTCGTATAACATTAGTACGTGCTTTTCGACCGTTTTTGTCTATTTTAAGGTTCAAAGAGTAGAGCCATACCCCCTTTAATTACTGTCTGAACAGATTACTAAATTATGGATATAAAAACTTCTGCTGGTTTTGTTAACCCTGGGACAGGAATTATATTGATTTTTCCAAAGGGAAGTCTTTTCTGAATTGGGATATTTGGTTGAACAATGTAGGTTATTGTACCAGAGGTGATTTCAAATGGATATGTCTTTCAAAACCATATAGGAACGAAAACAGTAAGCAAGAATGTATAGCAATGTCCAGGTAATGTTGACAGAAAATCAAATGTTAACTTTCAGTATTATCAACTTCTGAATCTTCATTATCTGTATCATTGTCATCTATCTCAATATCTGTGGAGTCTTCTGTGGTATCTGAGCTATGATTGTCTTCTCCTTCATAAAATTTTGGATGGAGTAATAGAGGTTCAGCAGAGAGAGCGACTAAATTCCTTGGTTTGAATTGTATCTTCCATGTTTCTCTGAAAAATCAAAGAAACAGGTGAATTGAATTTTAATTTAATCAATCACTTAGTTTTGAAATACATTATGTAGTTAATATATATCATGCGTTTAATAATTGTGTTGGCAAATGAAGAGCACGAATATAATTACTATATATAGACATATCAGACATTATGGGGTATCAATTGTTTCGAATAGTTTAAGCCTTAGTATTCAATAAGTACTTATCAATTTCATTTTTATATGTTCGAAATATGATCAGTTCAAACTGAAGTTAATATTTTAGAATGCAGTAATGTTTGTCTGTCATTGTATGATAAAGGAAGCAAATTAATCACTTACGTTGGGTGTTTATTAAATAATATAGAAATATATTCATCAACTGGCACCATTCGATGTAAAGGTTTGTGTGATAATAATTTATCAGCTCCTCTCCTCGACAGAATATAACCAAATGACCCCCATGAATAATTCGGCCAGATTAATGTTGAACTGCCTTTTACCTTAATTTCACTGTCAGGATCTAATCCGTTCCTATCCAGGTATCTAAGGAAAAAATAGAAATATGCCAATTAAATGTACCGGATCCAAACATTAATCAAGTATATTGAAAACTTGAGTAGGAAATAACAAGATCGGACTTCAAATAGATTAGAAAATGACATTTACTGGAAATATTTTTTACTGATTCGTAATAACTTGCCGTCATTAATCAGCCCTTAATTAACCAATCTATCTACTTTGTATACATATTAATTCATAATTTCTGACAGTTTAAACTTCGTTACCTAAACCGCTTTCAAATAATATCCTTTTCTCACCCCCTTTATACCGTCGTCAATGTAACCAGTCGTTGTTTTGGTAGCCAACTAACCTAAGCTATAACCTACACACTACAGAGGAAAAAGTATCGCAACACCCGAATGTTTATGATTCCAAGACAAATTTATATGCCAACGTGAAAGCAGCCAGCGCAGCACTTTATAGACATACGGCTCAAGAAAAGCATTTTTAAAAAAAAAATCAAAAAAAAATCAGCCATTGTAATGAGAAAAGCCTTAAAACCGTTGTGTTCACTGTCTGTATTTCACAATGGGACCTCTACAATAAAAAAAGTTGCAAGTAATTTGCATGGGCAAAACTGGGTTGTCAATGAGCAGATTGCACGACAATGCTTGAACATGGTCGATTAGTCCAAAAACATCAACATGCTAATGAGGTAAAGGACAGACAACGTATTAGTCACATTCCTGAAGCAATAGTGGGATTAGCTCTAATCAAACGAAACACTGCGAGGAGTATGCGTGTTAGTAGACCTCGAGAAGATGTAGCATTATATTGAGACTCGTGCGACGTCATCGCCTTTCTCTCCTGTATAGACTCCACGTGAGCAGGGGGGGGGGGGGCTGGACCTCCCACCACCACAGAGCAGTCGCCTGTGGGGTTGCCTTTCATGTTACCGCAAGCTTATAATCATTACAGACGCCAACGCTAGACCAAATGAGCATATCTGCGAGATAAAAGTTGCAATTTCATATTTTTAAGTTATATTTTTAAAATTTATTAAAATGGAGATAGCTATTCCATGGGAGGTAATTGTGTTATTATTTCCGGGGTCAAAGGATTTTTAAAAGGGAGAATAATACCTATGATCGTATAATAGTGAGTTTACAACCTATTGAGCAAAAGACATAGAAATAATCATGTTTTGACTTTCTTAGAAAATATGAAATTATCGCTTTAATGGGTTTAAAGATAAATTCCCGCGTACAAACTGGGTGATTTAATGGTATATATGGACTAAAAACATATTCAAACTAATTAATTTGTCATAATTTTGCTTAAAATCCTTCTCAAACATTGTTATTGCGAAGGAATGACCTGCTATAAAAATTCGATCAAACCAGGTCATGTTTACGTCACGTGACTTAGCTCTCTTGGAAGTCAGAGGAGAATTCTTTGCATACATAAGACGATGTTGTCTTTAATCGCTTACTATTTATTACAAATATCGAATCCTAATTAAATTCTCGGATTATCCACTACCCGCGTCTTTTTCCGTCATTTTTATCTCAGAAAGTGTTGTGCGTCTAACTCTTCATAAAGTTTATCAACTTGTACATCAAGCGCTCAATGTTCGCGTGTGACCTTTGACATCACGCGTGCAGAAATTCCTAATCGTCGGGCTGTCGATTAGGGGAACTCTTACATTTTTGTCCCGTATACGCTCCATGGGTGTTTTTCAGGGAATCCAGTATTTTTCTAGTAAGATTGGATATCTCTACTTTCCATATATACCAAAATTGCCATACTTTTATTGGAAATAACCACCCGATAAATACTTTTCCGGGAACCCATCTTTAAAACCCGTCAGTGGAACCCACCGGTGCAGAGTCCTCGCGATTTGGATCAGACACTACCCGAGGAAATGAACACACTAAAGCAAGCTCAGATCCAAAGTCTTCTTCAGTCAATGGTGATGCGAGTATGTGCTGTTTTGACGGCTCTATGAAATGAAATGAGCTAAACTGTAGGATTTCCTATTAAGTGTTTTAACCTGGTTTCACCCGTTTTCGCCCTCTTTTTGCACTCGACAGAATCAAATATGTCCCCATCTTCAATAGAAGGCTTGATCTCGCTTTAACTACGTACATCTTATCAAGCCAGATGTTGTGAAACGCACAGTCGTTGCTTCAGGAACATGATAAGTCCCCTACTTAAACTTCCAGAGGCAGTTCTGTAAGATTGAATACCTTTTAGAACACAAAAGAGCTGAACCTGAGCAAATACTTGCACTATATGGGTGTTTTTTTTGTGTGTATATGGCTACATTAAATATATTTAAGTACATACATTTGTCACACGTTGATAGGTAACACTAGCACTCATCATCTGATTGTTTTGCACGTGTACTATAAAATGGCTGCGAATTCAAAATTTGTAAAACAAAAACTTCCCTTGAACTTTCTTGGAAAATATGTGTTTGGCAACATTAACAAATATATTTTTCTGTCAGCTTGGACCTATTTTCCAATCGATAATTATAAATTTAGAAAAGGCATCTTTAATGTCACTTATCATCACAAAGTAGGCCTACTGTCTCAGCGATATAGAAAAATATAACAATGATTTTAAGTCAACATACATTAGATCCCAGTTAGGTACAAACTCCTTCGCTTCTTTCATCAGTTTTGCTAGTTTACTTTTAAAAAACGATTCAAATCGAACATCATCTTCAAATATTATAATTCTTTTATGATTTTTCGACACCATCTGTTGGTATTAATATAAAAGAAAGAATTGATAAGGGGTTTAATGTTCAATGGCTGAAAAATAAATTTATACAATAACGAAACACAATAAATGTGTAAATAAATATCATCCAATCGATAGACTTGTAACGCAACTAAATATGAATTAAATTGAAACCATTAATTTATGTCATGTCATAAAAAAGTACCTCTCGAAAGTCCACAAAATATATATGTTACCTCCTCCCAGATTCTGTAATGACTAAGAAAACAACCAATTTCTCCCATGTTTAACCTCCTGAAATAAAATATACATCAGTTGCACTTTTTTGAAATGCATAGCTATTAAATACCGTCATTAAGTCAAGTGGTGTTGTGTCGATTCTTCGCTTGTACGTGACAATGAGTAGGGTCGCCTATCCAATCTCGTGGGTTTTCTCCGGTTTCCATTCACTGCTAAAGACCCCTATGCGTTAGCGAATTATTGAAATAAAATTGAACCATACGTTAGTCCCAAATATACATATACCCCGGTTGCGTAGCCGTCGTAGGAGTAAAAGCGATGGGAAACTTAGTATCTACTGAAAAGGTTGATCTTAGTGTAACTGACCAATCATGCAACTTCATAACGTAAATATAAAGTGGGTGTGGGGTGCAGGAGGGGTTGGGAGTTTCTTTGCTTGTAGGGTTAACACGCTAAAGATGGAGCACTAAGCATTGTACCTTTGAACACCTTTAATTATTGTGTGGCTTTTGTTTGCAGAATACAGTATAACTAAAATTTGATTTAAGACAAATGGACATTATTTAACGAACAGAATTATAAACAATCTATACTTGCCATATCTGTCCCTGGTAATGATCCGCAAACCCAGGTAGCATATCAACACCAAGACTATCCAGATACGTATCATTCAATTTTCTTCACATAAAAGGAAAATTATAGGTAATAATTTAATGTCCTTTAAGGTGCTAACAAAATTCCGTAATAAAACTGACAAAACTCTGAAAGGCATTATCAAACATAGGAAAGACGACCAGCATAAAACTAGAAAGATAGATTCAGTAGAGGATTCTAGTGGAGGCGCAGTCTCCTACCCGAAAGAAAACACCTTTTCCGGGGAGAAAACTTGATATGGACCCCCTGTGGCCGAGGCCCCTAGTCCAATGGAGGGGTCCCCGGCCCAAGAAAAAGGGCTCCTGGGAGAAAGGGACCCCTTTAACATGAGTTCAAGAAAAGCGAAAAGGTTCCTTTAGACTTCGGTGCAAGGAGTCCCTGAATCTGAAAAAGGGCCCCATTGAAATCAGTGCTAGAGCCCCTGTGCATTTGTACAATAGTAAGGCAGATACGTCACCCCATCATTCATCAGTGCCGTTACGCGCAGGCCAAGTTTTTTCAATACCGCTTTTGGTACCAATTTAGTTAATATTATATGTACTTTTGTTGTTTATTACTTGCAATGTCTGTGTATTTATAGTGTATCTTGTCCGCGGGTAGCCGTTTGTTTGTGTGTGGTGCTATCCTCATGGACTTATTATTAACTATCCAGTTGACCAAACTGTAGCGGAGAGCGTTCTTCTTCCGCTCTACAGTTGAAGCAGAACAGTACGACGTTAAACCCCATTTCATTTCATTTCTTCCTCTCTGGTGTGAATCGCTAATCACCTGCGTTCACCTAAGAGTCCTATTGTCTCAAATCACCTGCACTACAGGCCCACCAGTAAATTTTTCAAAGTTATTAATTTTTACAAGACTAAGAACAATTGAAAATCATTTGCTTAATTTCTTTCAAACAAATTTATCCAACAATTGAAATAACTGCTGTAGCCCCTAAAGTGTAGCACTATCGTCGTTGCGACATTGTTTTTAAATTTATAGACAAGGAATAGAGAAATAAGATGCCTTTATATTTCAAACATATTTACATATATAGTGGGTACTAAATCAACTTAGTCTGTAATTGACATATTGTTATATAAAAAAGAGTTATTTAACCATAACATGTGTCTATAAAATACCCCGAGATTACACGTGAGTGGAATTATTCTAATTGCATCATTTAGCTTAAAGTAACCAATCATATTGTTAATTGCACAGGTTCAGGGCCATGAACAGGCTTTCTGTGCGTGCTATGCAGGAATCTTATAAAACAAATCATACTAAAGTTTTAAGTTAGACTTCCATTAGATTCCAGAGAGCTTCCATCTGAGTTCCTAGACAGCCGCGAGGCTGGCTAGGGTTGAGAAATGGTTTTAGCTAGTATTGTTATCTATTATGCTTGTATCCATATGTATTCGGCTATGCTATATAAAATGTAGAAGCAAACTGTTGCATTGTTATTCCTGGCAAGACAAACGTCTTAAGAAACTGTAAGAAGTAAATACACAACGTGAAGCAGAAGTAAAGACAGCTAGAGACAAATTCTAGACGATCACAAGGCTACAGAAATATGTAGTAAGAAAAGATGCATGGGTCTACGTAGGATGTGGCGACCGGTTTGTGTAGTCTGCTCTCCACGTCAGACAAAAGACCTATTGTGCTACAAAAGCCCCTGGATGATATTTATCTAGAGGCAGTCAACATTTCGCAAGTCAGAAAGTTTGAAAGAAACTTATTATGTGAAATATATGTTGCATGTCCGTTGTCTCATAATTAGCGGTACGGTATTTTACGGGTCATTTTTGTTTCCGAAGAGTGGGTGATTGATTAACCATTGTAATTCACTATAAACACTCCTTTTTTTATGGCGTATGCCAGTCTTCATTTGACCAGTTGGTACAGAAGGAGAGGGCGTTAAACCCAATTTCGTTAGTTTTTCTACAGATTTGGACAACGAAATCATCCGTTCCAATTTGTATCTAAACCCACAGGAAAGAGCATTAAATCTCATCTATGGCGATGCAAGCTTCAAAGTTTGCCGGGAGGACGCTTGGGTCCTTCAGAACGAGTCGCCACCGTTTGCCGATCTTTTAATTCACCCCTGGATAGATTAATAATAAGAAGATTTCGTAATAAAGGGCACAATTCTGGCGGCCCGGTGCTTCTCGAAAATGTGGAAACAGCAATAAGTTTCTACAATACAATGAAATATACAGCCGCTATCAATTTACAACGGACAGATAGTGAGGTTTGCCGAGTGGCACTTATCGAGTTGGCAGCCATTACTATTTACTCCAAAATTGTAATGTAGGATATGTTTTTCTTTGTTCATTCCTTAAAACTGCACACGAAAACACAGAGTACACGACTGGTGTACGGATTTGAGAATGTTCATTGCGTCTTAAATATTAGATATTAGGGTCCTACATTTTCACGGCAAGATAACAACATCAATATGGATTGAAATGGACCAATATTAAATTCTAATTTGTGTTTTTAATTTCGAATATTATGGAAAATATTGAGCTAAAGGCTTAGCTCCTTTAACATAAGCCGAAATGCTATTCATCGAACTTAGTTATACCATTCGCCTAATGAACATCCAAAGGCGTGTTGGCTGGGGACTCCGAAGGATAGGCAGGACAAACTTACGGCACTTTATGTTTGTCATTTGATATGTATTGATGTAAGCATGATTTCTGTCTAAGCTGTATCTGGGAAGTGTAATTAACGAATATCTTGTTAGAAATCTATTATTTGACTTATGCAAAAAACGCCTAAATTTTAAGGACAGAGTCTAGTCCACCACAGATGTTGGAGTGTGTTCTAATACTTATTGTTGCCTTTTGTCTCGTTGCAGCTAATGTGTGTGTTTTCTCATGCGTCAGAAGATCGCAGCAAATAATTATCACTATACTAACTAAACACTGATAAAATTTCTTCAAGACCGGCTTTGTAGGAACGAAAATATTTTTGCCATTGCGTCCCTCTCACTTAGCCCTATATGTTTGCATACAGAAGTGTTCACAATACACAAACAGCTTTAACCATGTCTTCAACAATGTTAGAAGCGGTGTTGGCAAAGACTTTATCGCTATGCTCGTTGTACTTGACCTTTCTGCTGCTTTTGACACGCTTGATTTGCGGAAACTTTTTCAAAATGGCGGATACTATTTCAGAAGGCAGGACACCATTTCAGAAGAGAGGGCACTTGTTCAAAGAGGAGGGCACGTTTTCAAAAGGGAGAGCACTTTTTCAAAAGGGAGGGCACTTTTTCAAAAGAGAAGGCACTTTTTCAAAAAAGAGGGCACTTTTTCAAAAAAAGAGGGCACTTTTTCAAAAGAGAGGGGCACTTTTTCAAAAGAGAGGGGCACTTTTTCAAAAGAGAGGGGCACTTTTTCGGAAGGGAGGGCACTTTTTCAAAAAAGAGGGCACTTTTTCAAAAGAGAGGGGCACTTTTTCGGAAGGAAGGGCACACAGCAACCCAACGTCCTATACCTTGGTTGGAAATCTTATCGGACTCGAGCGTTATTAAACATTTCCGGTTACTTTTGTTTCTTGCCTACCCTGCCTACCCGCCCAGCACCGTGTTTGGTCATTTAATCTAAGTCAGAAACAGGGTTAATTACGTTTCAAAAGTGTGACATATAGATGGAGAGGTGGGCGGTCAACCCACTTTCAATAGCCCTCTGCTTTCCCCCGAAAGACAAGTGATATAAGATATTAGGTATAACTGCAAACTTACTTTCCATCAATATCATCAAAAACAATGAAATCTATTCCCAGATTATATAAAGTATTTCTCATTATTTTTTTCCTCTCGGGACGACGTAGTAAATGTACTATAAAAATCTGAATAGAAAAATAACATAAATATAACCGATATAAAAGCACAGACATCTTGGAGATGCGTTATGTAAGAGTTAAATATGCCTATTACAGTTCTTTATTTTGGCTTCAAATGTTATATATATAAACTATTATTTAGACATTAATACACACGACAAACCTACAATCAACTCCCTAGATCATCGATGGCGGAGATTTAAACAGATTAAAACAAATGATTTAATTTAATTAAAAATGGCGAATCGAGGCAAAGTCTCGAATAACAAGTACCACCAAGAAGCTTTAATTAAAGCTTCTTGAGTACTACTGTTACGATAATAAACAATCAATGTCACATCTTGTCAAAACTTCAAACAGTGATAACGTCGCTCGAAATAAAGTAATTTAAATGAAATTTTCAATATAGCAATAACGACCAGGGGTCGGTAACTCAAAACTAAGTTATTTTAACGACCCGTTAAACTCTTACTGGTCGTTATCGTGCTAACGTGTCGTTTGTTAACGGTTCGTTAAATTTCTGTTGCTGAAAAGTCAATTTCATTATCCGTTAGCTATCCGTTAACTGATTAAAGGTAATCCAAGAGAAGACTGTTTGTTCATTGGCTGGATTTAAAAATTTTAAATTCAATGTACATATATAACATAAATTAGTATTAACACGCAACAGAAGGCAGTGGGACTTACAGCCGACTAATGCCTTTGTTAAACAGATAACGGAGCCCAACACCTCCGTTAAATATAACGGCAAGTTGACGACATGTTAAAGTTAACGGGCTTCCAGCAACAGACTTTCTCTCCGTTAAGGATAAAGACCTATTAACTCCATATTAACGTTGCAGTTAATAAACCTAGTGAATGTTATCCATAAAGTTGTCAGTTTATTATATATCCTAAATGCCCTTCAAAGATATTAACGAACCGTTAAAAGTTAATGGTGCTTTGCACAACAGGCCCTGCTCTTTATCTAATTATTACATAATACATGTATATCTTTAAGATGTGCCATGGAAGCAAGTGCTTCGATTTTGATCCAAAGCTTGTACATGGCAACACGTAGTGTCACCTACTAAATTATATCTCTCCGCCGCTGCTAAGGACCGGTCTCTATACACTACCGAATTATTAATATAGACATATACCAAATGACCACGTGTAAAGTGGATATTAACCCCCATTTTTCACCCTATGTCGCTATTGTTATAAACCCAGGTATACGCCATGCTCGTATCTCCTTATACTATTTGTGTGTTTGTTTAGGAGAAAAAGTATGCTATAATATGCCAATTCATCCAAAGTTTGCGTGTATGGCTCTTTCAAATAAATCTAAAAGGTTTGATGATCTAGCAACAATTTTAAATTCTTATTTATGATGATGACCAAATATCTTACCTCATCAAAACCTAATTTACTCTGAGGTACAGGAGGTGCATATACATGTTTAGATCTATATAATGGCGGCCCTTCCACTACAAATATACAATAAACATATTAGATATTTTGGCAAATGGCATATTTCTCTTTTACATCACATCATAGTTCTGATGTAGAGAATGTTGCGGTTGTAGCCATAGACCATAGTGCAAATTTAGATCTATATTTTAATCAGATTGGGGTTGTCCTCTCATGAACTCGATGGTTCACACACAATTTTACCAGCGGCTGCCACATTTTGCAAGAGATGAAACAAGATAAAAACAAAAACGATTTTTGTACAATCAGGGGCCATAATCCAGAAAGTTATGGTCTGAAATGCGCAAATATTCCAATTCAACCTTCATTATGGTGGAATGGTGATATATCTAAACGGTTTTTAAAATTGGAAAAAAAATTGTGACCTCTAGAGAATCCACAAGCTAAAAATGCGATTTTTCGACCAATCAGGGGGCATAATCCAGGAGGTAACGTTCGGATATGTGTAATTATTAAAAAGAATAGAGATCTTTACGATAAAAACTGTGGCCTCTATTTACACTATTTGCGTACAAGGGGCGGCCATCATGTCCGCCAGTTTCTGACCTATTTTCACGAAATTCGAACTCAACCATCATAAGTGTATAACTGTGATATATTCACATTTTTTTTTAAATCGGATAAAAATTGTGACCTCTAAAGGGACCACAGGCTCAAAACGCGATTTTTTGTACAATCAAGGGTCATAATCCAGGAGGTTACGATCCGATATGCGCGAATATCGAAAGGAACCAAGATCTTTGGGTTATAAACATGCATTTCAAGTTTCAGCCAAATCAGATCAAAATTGTGACCTCTAGGAGGTCCACAACCTTGATATACCAGATGTTTACACTATTTGTGTACAAGGGGCGGCCATTTTTTCCGGCTGTTTTGGTCCGATTTTCACCCAATCATCATTAGGGTGTGACGGTGATATACTAAAACGGTTTTTTAAATCGGATAAACATTGCGACCTCTAGAGAGACCATAAGCTAAAAACTCGATTTTTCCGTAAAATCGGCGAATATTGAAAGGAAACAAGATATTTGGGATATAAACATGTATTTAAAGTTTCATCAAAATCGGAACAAAATTGTGATCTCTAGAGTGTCCACAAGTTAAAAACGTGATTTTTCGTACAATCAGGAGCCATAATCCATGAAGTTATGGTTCAATACATGCCAATATCGAAAGGAGCCGAGATCTTTGGGAGATAGACCTATATTTCAAGTTTCATCAAAATCGGATAAAAATTGTGACCTGTAGAGTGTCCACAAACAAATTGTGGAAGGACAGACGTCCGGACGGACGGACGGACAGGGGCGACGAAAATATACGTTCACATGAAAATGTGGGCGTATAAAAACATATCCAATCAAGACTATATCTACAGCGGTCACAAGCTTTTCCAAAAGGGTGGGATTGGGGCGCAATTCAGGAACTGGAGGTCATAGCGACGAATACCTAGTATAGCGTTCGATATCTCATGAGTCATGACGAAATGTGAAAACAAAATCCATTTAAAACTGTAGTCTTTATCGCATTCACATGCAAATTGTAGAAAATGACAATATCTTATGTGTACCGGTACCATTTTTATATCATGGTTGACTTACTGGTGGCAGAAATCTTTCACCCCTATTCAAGCGCCCAGATTCGAAATGAAGTTAGCAAGCATATTCCTAGTGCCAATAAATATCTATCACGATAATAATTGTTACCTTCATATTGAAATAAACATTTTAAGACATATTAATGCATAGCACATATAATAGACAAAAATAAAATAAAAACCTATAGGTTTTTTTTTCTTTTTACCCAGAACTGAGATCACAGCAAAGGGTACGCCCACCCTGCCACCAAAGCTGGCTGGAATCCAAATTAGACGTGCCCTCAGCGCAACTGTGCAATATTTTATTATGTTCACGGCAATAACTTATAGGTTTTTGCGTCTATTATATATACTATGCATTAATATATCTTAAAATGCGTATATTAAAGATAACAATTCTTATCGTGATAAATATATCGGTATCTACTGGCGCTTGAAATATGTTTACTAACTTCATTTCAAATCCGGGTGCTTGAATACAGATGAGAGATTCAGCCCGGTAAATCTATGATTCCTAATCAAAGATATGGCCAGAACATTAATGATTAGAATCTGTTCCATTTTTATATAACTGTTAATGAAAAACAGCCAATGTTAGTAAAAAAATTATTTGCAATTATACAACTTTATATAAATAACTTACCCATTGTTTCAGTTCTAAGGTAAGCAAACTGTTCAATTTCTTCCCCTAAAGAATAGTGGCTATTTAATGGCACCATTACTTTACCAAAATATCTTGTATTTAGAATAAACATTGATATTGCTGTAAAAAAACCCTCAACATTCCTAATTAATGGAATTAATTCACGGTAACATATTTTAAATCTTCTCATGTCAATCTTTTGGAAATTTTCTATTCAATTTGTCTTTTGAATTTCTTATATGTATGGTGGCTGATTGGTATCATGTCGTGATGTCGTGGTGTCGCCCTTTATAAGGCGACAACCCGACAACCCGACATCACGACATCACGACATTTTTAACCCGACACTACGACATTTTCACCCGACACCACGACATTAAGAATGTCGTAATGTCGCGTAAAAATGTCGTATTGTCGCGTAAAAATGTCGTGATGTCGGGTTGTCGTGATGTCGGGTTGTCCACTTTCTTTATCAATGGGGGGGGGGGGGGGGGGGTGGATGGCCGAATGGTTAGCACGTGCGTGCTTTATCATAAGACCTGTCATTGAGTCAACTGGCGTGGTTTCGAATCCCCGGTTGTACGTGACAAGGAGTAGGGTCGCCTGTCCAACCTCGTGGGTTTTCTCCAGGTCCTCCGGTTTCCTCCCACTGCTAAAGACCCCTACGCGCAAGCGAGTTATTGAAATCAAATTAAACCATATGTTAGTCCCGAAATGACCTAGTTTGTGTCGAGTGCACGTTAAACCCTCTCTCTCTCTCTCTCTCTTTATCAATGCCATTTCATTTCATTTCTTTATCAATGTTGAAGCGGCCACGAGATCAAGTCAGCCCTCACTATCTCATCCTTCACTAATAGTAAGTGCAGGGGGACTACACCACACAAAATTTACACAAAAACAAATACACGGACAGGACATCATACTCAGGAAAACACAAACATACAGACAATTAAAAAAAAGTGAATGGATCCGGGGGCTAGCCGTAAGCGTCCACTGCGCTGTACAGTCCCGGGTCTGTAGTGACACAGACTTCACTCAAATTTGAAAACAATTAGGAATACAACCCAAAGAACCCATTGTGTAATGCCAGCATGAGTCATGATCTGCATTATGCTACACAAAATACGAATGTAAGCATATGTAATAAAATTCAACTATACAAGTAACCACATCGGCGAAATGTATAAAAAGGTAGTCTAAACTCTAAATTCAATAAAGAAACGCTTCAGTATTTGGGTACATGTTCCATCGTCACAAACCAGAGGCTGCCAGCCATTTACGCCCACATTTTCGAGAGATGGATAGAGAACAAGCTAAAAAGAAAGTGATTTTTCGTACAATCAGGGGCCATAATTCAGGAAGTTACGGTCCGATATGTGTGAATATCGAAAGGAACCGAGATCTTTGGGTTATAAACTTACATTTCAAGTTTCAACAAAATCGGATAAAAATTGTGACCTCTATAGGGTCCACAACCTTGATATACCATATTTTTATGCTCTTTGAGAACGAAGGGCGGTCATTTTGTCTGTCAGTTTTGGGCCGATTTTCACGAAATTCGAACTCAGTCGTCCTTAGGGTCTCACGGTAATATAATAATACGGTTTTTTAAATCGGATAAATATTATGACCTCTATAGGGTCCACAAGCTAAAAACGCGATTTTTCGTACAATCAGGGGCCAGAATTCAGGAAGTTACGTTCCGATATGTGCCAATATCGAGAAGAACCGAGATCTTTGGTTTATAAACTTACAAATCAAGTTTCAACAAAATCGGATAAAAATTGTGACCTCTATAGGGTCCACAACCTTGATATACCATATTTTTACGCTATTTGAGAACGAACGGCGGCCATTTTGTCTGTCAGTTTTGGGCCGATTTTCATGAAATTCGAACCCAGTCGTCCTTAGGGTGTAACGGTGATATAATAATACGTTTTTTTAAATCGGATAAAAATTATGACCTCTATAGGGTCCACAAGCTAAAAACGCGATTTTTCGTACAATCAGGGGCCAGAATTCAGGAAGTTATGTTCCGAAATGTGCCAATATCGACAAGAACCGAGATCTTTGGTTTATAAACTTACATTTCAAGTTTCAACAAAATCGGATAAAAATTGTGACCTCTATAGGGTCCACAACCTTGATATACCATATTTTTACGCTATTTGAGAACGAACGGCGGCCATTTTGTCTGTCAGTTTTGGGCCGATTTTCATGAAATTTGAACCCAGTCGTCCTTAGGGTGTAACGGTGATATAATAATACGTTTTTTTTTAACTCGGATAAAAATTATGACCTCTAAAAACGCGATTTTTCGTACAATCAGGGGCCATAATTCGGGAAGTTACGTTCCGATATGTGCGAATATCGAAAGGAACCAAGATCTTTGGGTTATAAGCATACATTTCAAGTTTAAACCTAATCGGATAAAAGTTGTGACCTCTACGGTGTTCACAAGCTAAAAACGTGATTTTTCGTACAATCAGGGGTCATAATCCATGAAGTTACAGTCCGATACATGCCAATATCGAAAGGAACCGAGATCTTATGGTGATAAACCTATATTTCAAGTTTCATTGAAATCGGATAAAAATTGTGACCCGTAGACTGTTCACAAACAATTGTGGACGGACGGACGGACAGGGGCGACGACAATATATGTCCACATGAAAATGTGGGCGTATAAAAACAAAAACAAAACTGAATACAAAGAAGCAAGTAGGAAATGTAGACTGTCTCGAGGGACAGCCGTCTGCTGACTGAGAATGACGTCATATCTTAGAAGGTGTTAAAAAAATCACAATAATAAGGGCAATAATCCAGATAGAATAACGTTAAACGCTTAAAAACCATAAGTTCTAGCGACTAATCGGAATTATTAAGTTATGTAATTGTACAATATATAATAATATATTAATACAATACCCCACACAAGAAATGCAAAACAGGTATGTTGAAGAAATCGTACTATGTAAGTGTATTTATAAAGGCATAACATTAAGGGAGGTAATTCAGACAGGGTTAGGTAACTACAGAAAATCTAAAATAAAATTTAAATTGGATCATTATTATCCAGTATGTAGTCGGTTATATACTTACAAGAAATGTCAAACTTGGTATGTTGAAGTAATGGAAGTTTTGAAATTTCTTTTAAAATGTATAATTGTGTAGCGCCTTTGGCAGTGCATTTAAAGTAAAGAGATTTTATTCGGGAGAAAAAGAATACTTACCCTTCACTAACTGCGAATCAAGCTGGCCCTCACTGCCAAATTACCGGTCTTAATACGAAATTCCAGATATCATGCTACATATCAGTAGAAAGCACGTTCACTGTTCTTTTCAAATATATAAATAATTTTCTGGCACATTTATATTTACTTGCCTTGAAAAGTGAAAAGGGGGGGGGGGATATTAGATAAATATGCGGGGCTTAATCCAAAATTCCGTATATCTATACTGAAAAGTAAAGTTAATCCTTCTTGAAATTTATTTATTATATTTTAGGCGGAATGCATACATACTTTTTTAAATTAAAATTGATACAAGTTTGGTAGCCTTCACTGGTTGAATTAAAGAGAGTGGCGGGGTGGGGCGAGTGTTTAATGTCAACAACATACGTGTCTTAATACGAAATTCAAGTTATTGTGTCATACATCGGGGGTTGATGGCTGAATGGTTAGCGTGTGCGCGCTGAATCATAAAGTCTATCATTGAGTCAACTGGTGTGGTTTCTATTACCTGGTTGTACGTGACAAGGAGTAGGGTCGCCTGTCCAACCTCGTGGGTTTTCTCCGGGCCCTCCGGTTTCCTCCCACTACTAAAGACCCCTACGCGCAAGCGAATTATTGAAATAAAATTAAACCATACGTTAGTCCCGAAATGACCTAGTTTGTGTTGAGTGGACGTTAAACCCCATCTCTCTCTCTCTCTCTCTCTCCTCTCATACATCACCGGAAAGTAGTTTTCTATGGCTCTTTAAATCTACTTATTATTTTCTGGCACATTCACGATTATATACTTTATTTTGAGCAAAGTAATGGGTTACTAAAAATAGACTACTTCCAATTCATTTTATTTATCGAAGGCTCGAATTAGTCCATACCGAGCACGTGAGTACACTCAAGTCATGGTCATCCAGCGAATTTATTAGTGAGTGCCAGCTTGATTCGCAGTTAGTGAAGGGTAAGTATTCTTAGTGAAGGATGAGACAGTGAGGGCTGACTTGCTCTCTGCAAGGGACAGCACTCTATTATCCATGGCCGCTTCAACATTGATAAATAAAGTCGACAACTCGACAACCCGACATCACGACACCCCGACATCACGACATTTTTACGCGACAATACGACATTTTTACGCGACATTACGACATTCTTAATGTCGTGGTGTATGGAAGCGTATTTGGGTCACTACTTATTGAGATATTACGCAACACATCGAACTAAAATATGTCAACTTCATGAGTTATATTACAAAAAATCGACTTAATAAGTCGACTCGACGCATTAAACTCACCTCTTAACGACAAAAACTATGTCGATATGTTTACATCATGCCAATAGTCGATTTGACTCTAAATCAACAAGTCATATTTTAATGCAATATATAGACTTAATAGTGTCGCCGTTTTCAGTTATGTACCACGTGCTTAATTTCATTGCCCGAGATTGCTTATTCATGAAAGTGCAGCCAATGAGTGAAGAATGTTTTAGGTTGGACAGGCAACCCTACTCCTTGTCACGAACAACCCGGGATTCGAAACCACGCCAGTTGACTCAATGACAGGCCTTATGATACAGTGCGCACGTGCTAACCATTCGCCCCCCCCCCCCCCCCCCACATAATGGACATTAAAATCTCCGACAATAATTCTCCCCTTTCTTGTCGATTATATCTACCATAGCTGAAAATTCATCGGTGAAAAAAAAAAATTGTTTGTTATTTTTTTTTCTTTGAGGTTGGTAATTTGTATATAATCCTAAAACACTTACTATCAGCACTTATTACTGTTCCAAGCACCAAAATGGGTTTTTTTTGCCATGTGTGGCTACAACTGGGTTATTTTGCTCTGATTTCTTCAAATATGATATTTGAAACTTGTTTATAGTTTAACTAAGAACTACGTGATTACTGTGTGAAAACGCGGAGAGATTTTTAGGAGAACTTTTGGATTATCATGTTTTTGGATAGAACATTGCAGTTCAATATGGACATGTTTGTGCTATTTTTAGTATCGGCTTTGTCGGTGTCAATACTACTAGTCTGAACCTTGTGAACTGTCAAGACTAAATACTATTTGGACGAACAATAGAGTTAACAATGCTGTGACTTTTACCGTATTCCTGAAGCAATGTACTGATAGCAAAATCTTGGGGTTTTGACGAAGTGTGTCTATTGTAATCGTCCAATCAAATTTCTCCTGAGTACAGTGGACTCAAGGGGGTTTGCATGACTGACCGCTTAACGGGAATGACCACCTAATAAAACCTCAATGTTTGTTAGTACTGATACCAAGTAAAATTGTACGTGTTGATGCATCAGGAGCAAACATCAATACTCGCGTCGGTAAATATTGGACCGTCGCTAAAGTTCGCTATTGGAACGAAAATGTTTTGACGCAAATCTCCGATATAAATTGTGTAAACGTGCCTATTTGAACCAACATTTATTACTGCCCACCTTTGTTATGTATTCAATAATAATATTTATCCACTTTTGTGAAGAAAATCCAATAATTATTGTTATTTTATAAAAAAAAATGAGCATAAATCCAAAAAATCTATTGGAAGTTGTCTTTCTGTCCAATTTATAGAAACACAATACGTAATATGTCAGTCCGTCTCTTTGATCTAGGGTCTTCCCTAAAACTTAGGACAGTCGATTAAAGATGGTGAAAATATTGTTCGTCTGCTATGTGGTCCAATGATAAAAAGATTACAAGTGTGTGTGCCCGGAACCTCCAGGTTAACGGGTGATATTTTTACTCACTGAGCCACCGCCGACGGTATCAACACGGACGAATGTACTATGTACAGCTTTGACATATATTCTTTTTATTTTCTCCTCGTTTTTAAGTTCTAGCATTATTATAGCCTGTTAGGGAATGTATATTGCACAGTAGTGGAATTTGGGCGAAATTATGTCATTGGTTGATTTTGTATTATACTGACAGAAGACAGGCCAATTATTATGTAAATTCCACTCCCGTTTTAATCCATGACAAACTTGTTGTTGTTCTTCTTCTTAGTGTTTAACGTCCGCTTCCACCAAAGGTGATATCACAGACAAGTTGTCTTTATTTTCATTTTAATGATCTTAGCGCACGCGCAGGGGTCTTTGCTGTGGGGGGGGGGGGGACCGGAGTACCCGGAGTAAACCCACGAGGTTGTGAAGGCGCCCCTATCTCCAAGCCACATACGCTGACACCAGGGATCGAAACCAGAGGTGACCGGCCAACTAGAGGTCGAAGCGTGACAATCTAGACCACTAGCCCCCCCCCCCCCCATGACAAACTTACAAATTACTACATTTTAATGAAATAACCAGTGTTTTATGGGATGGCTAACCACGTGTGTTATATTTTAGTTGTAATGTTTATTAGTGTAGAATTTTTATTACTATTTTATTTATATAGCGCTACATTACATATCAAAATGTTCCTAATCATAAGACTGTCCGAAAAGATGCGTTTTCGGCTTACACTTCTATGTATGATACGAATTTAATTGTCTAATGGTTGCAGGAAGATTGTTCCAGAGTTTGGCAGACGGACAGGGGTATGAGAATTGGTCAACTCGTTCGTTACATTTTGGAATAGAGAGGCGAGTTCTGTCATCGGCTGATCTCAGATTAGATCTTTGATTGGAATAATATGTGAGGAGTTCTTTTAGATAGACTGGATAGGAATCGGAGTATAACGTATTGTATATATTGCACAGTATTTTAACGGGATTTTACCGGTAGCCAATAAAGATCTTTCAAATTGAGTTTCAAATATAACCCGAACAGCATTATGCGAAGCATCCTCCAACCTGTGAATATCTGAGTCGGGTGTTGCAGCTAATAATGCATTATTTAGCGTAGTCTAAATGTGACAAGTGCACAGACTACACTAATGGCACAATCCCTAATTCGGCACTTTCCAATCTTAGAAATGTTTCTCAACTGGGAAGATCATTTGTTTTACGGTACTGTTTATTTGTGGTCTGTTGGAGAGGTGTTTTTCAAAGATGTGGCCCAGGTTCTTTGCTATATCCTTTTTTTTCTTTTTTTTGCGGGGGGGGGGGGGGGTGTAGGTGGCGGAATGGTTAGCACGTGCGCGCTGTATCATAAGGTCTGTTATTGAGTCAACTGGCGTTGTTTCGAATCCCCGGTTGTACGTGACAAGGAGTAGGGTCGCCTGTCCAACCTAGTGGGTTTTCTCCGGGTCCTTCGGTTTCCTCCCACTGCTAAAGAACCCTAAAATTAAACCATATGTTAGTCCTGAAATGACCTAGTTTGTGTCGAGTGGACGTTAAACCCCATCTCTCTCTCTCTCTCTCTCTCTCTCTCTCTCTCTCTCTCTCTCTTTAATGTCCTTTATAACAATCAAATTAAAATCTTCAATAAGAAAACTCTAAAACGAAAGACATTCTTCACTCATTGGCTGCACTTTCATGAATAAGCAATCTCGGGCAATGAAATTAAGCACGTGGTACATAACTGAAAACGGCGACATATTGCATTAAAATATGACTTATTGATTTAGAGTCAAATCGACTATTGGCATGATGTAAACATATCGACATAGTTTTTGTCGTTAAGATGTGAATTTAATGCGCCGAGTCGACTTATTAAGTCGATTTTTTGTAATATAACTCATGAAGTTGACATATTTTAGTTCAATGTGTTGCGATATTATCTCAATAAGTAGTGACCCAAATACGCTTCCATACGTGGTGCCGGGTGAAAATGTCGTAGTGTCGGGTTGTCGCCTTATGAAGGGCGACACCACGACATGACGACATGATACCAATCAGCCACCATATATATGCTATATGTATTTAGATCAATGTTCAATGGATCTCTAATCAATTTACAGTTGGCGTGTATGTAAAAAAAATGTTGAAATTCGATGAACATCAAACCTCTATATTTAGTTCGGTGGATGCAGAAAAGTGGGACGTCTAACCCCATTTCATATCACAAATTATTATTACACACGTAGAATTACCAACCTGTGGCCTTTACAGAATGTGCAAATATTATAATATCATTATATGGCCCGTCATATTCAGGCAATGGAGGTGTGTACACTATATGTTGAGTAACACAACGTCGTATATCTATTAAAAGAGCTGAGTGTAGTATGGGAACAGGGAAACATCCACGAATTTCCCAGTCAACCATTTTCAAATATTCTTCTGTTCTTACATAATAACCCTGAAAGTAAAATGTTACACATCTCTTAAGCTTTGATAGATTTGCCTAAGCTCGCAGCTTTGTCACTTGATATTGTGAAAGGAAACTTTTAATTTCATTAATTTGAAAATGAAGCAACGTCTCCTGGAAATACTCCACACTTTTTACTTGATCTGATAGATCACAATGTCTGTAGGTTTTCTTCTCTGTGTATTGTTTGATCTTTAGTTAGGATCCGATAAAAATTTATTTTTGAAACACATGGAAAGTGGCTCACCTTTGTATCTATCCCTTCCCAGAAGTTGGAATAATATCCTGCGTCACTGGCATTAAACATTGGCCCTACTATTATCCTGTAATTACAAACAAAATTATTCCCAGACATATCATGTAGGCTTAGTAATCATTCAGAATACAGATCTAGAATAGGAAGATTTTCTTTTACGTCTGATGGCATCGACAACGCATATTATAAGATGTAGATAAGGAGCTGCCTCTATGCCCGTTCTTGCTATAATAGTTCCAATTTATTCACAATTTTAATAAAATATATTGAAAATTTCATTCAAATTACCCAAAGGATTGTTTCTTCTTGCTGAAAATCTACTTATAAATAAGTAAAAGATAGCCACGCAAATCCGCCCTCAACAACAGCTTATCCGAAAGGAAAACCTGGACGTTGAGAGAATTTAATATAACGGCAAATGGGTTGGGGTAACTGTAGAACTGAAAGTCGCAGAATGCTGAATATCAAGCAATAACTTTATTCCAAATTTGAAAAGAATCCATTAAAAACTATAGCCTCTATTACGTTCTACTCCATGGGTTAATCCAGGGTTTTCACGATTTCAAATTATCTGCTCTGACCTTGATCGTAGCTTGATTCTGTGAACCAATCAAAAAACAGTTTATAAACCTGTCTTACTAAGACTAACTAAGAATGTCTTTAGCCTCTTTGTTTACGTTCACAACAATATGGCTTGTTGCAAAACGATTTCCCTTCGCTACTAGGGATACAGGGGATCATGGTCCCTTCATGACCACAAGGCTTCCATCAAAAACTGTAGCGTCTATTGCGTTTACAAGCCAATGACGAATAGGCAAAGTGGCGCCTACGTGCGGGCGTATAAAGTGCTTTAAACCATATCACGTCTATATATAAATCCATAGAACAATTGATACTTACTTATTTTGATCCATAAGTAACTGTAGTGTCTTGTTATTTTCAATAATCACATTTGCATCAGCCATCTAAAAGATAGGTTGACAGGCAATGAAGTATAAGCATTTGTGAAGTCCACAAAGGTAGTCGCATATTAAATATTATGTTTTGTGGGTAACGGAATGCTAGATGTCATTTGTTAAAATGTAAATAGCCCCAACAATAATAAGCGCGATAATCCAGATAAGACAGCGCTAAAAGGTTAAACCTGTTATAGTGTACCTTTTTGTATATATTTTATTACTATTTAATTTTAGTCAAAAAACAATTGACCAATGTCCAAATAGGTATCTCGCTAATCTTTTCTGTTTGGGGATATAATATGCTTAATGTAAACGATATATATTACGTAATTATAGTTAACAAGCGTTCTTCCTATGCCCATATCATCTTCTGTATTTAAACATACATGTATACATGTATGTGCAATTTATTATTTCTTATCAAATATTATTATATAATTATTTTAATCCTAATTTTGTATAATGTTTTATATTCTATTGTATCTTTAGTTTGGTGCGATCGGCTCTCCTATCTAATTATTGTGACCGTTAGCCAGTTTTGGACGCTCGTTTAATATTTTAACTATTTATCTGAGTCATCGTCATTATGGTGTTGGAATAAACTACAAGTCTACAACCCCCCAAAAAGTTATGAAAGGGTATCACTGCCAATATTAAATGCTCTGCTAAAATGTCTTTTCCATTGATTATGTGTAAAAAGTACATTACCAGTAATGTAAAACGTCAAATACAATGGGTCAAATGTCAAATATTTTATTGGAAGATGCTGTTTTCTGACGTGTCTACATTTCACATTCCCCTCGATACAAGTAGTTGGTAAATTATAATATGTACTCTCATGCAATAAAAATGATGATAAAAAATATTGCTGATTTTATTATATATTTTTCGAAAATGAAAATGAAATGAAATGGGGTTTAACGGCATGACCCCTACTATTCTGCTCCTACTAGGCTAATGAAGACGGGGAAATTTTGCCCGCACAGCAGCACTACTGTCCACTCTTAAATCGAATTCCAACTGCCAAGGGATCTTTAACGTGCACGCCAAAAACCTCAGGTTTTCGTCCCATCCGAACGTCTATATGTTGCCCCTTGCCTGCACCACTGACTATATTTTTCGACTATTAGGGCTAGATTAGACAGACGTTAAGTTACTCTAGCATCGCTTGTCTTTTTAAGTAGATAGACATAATTTTATTTCGTTCCAATAAATCTGGAGCTACGATGGCTAAGTGGGTAAGGCGCTGGCTCGCTAGCCTGAAGGTCGCGTGTTCGATCCCTGCATTTGCCGAGAAAGTTCATCGGGATTTTCCGACGTGGTTTCCCCTTGTCAGTGGTGCAGGACGGAGGGTCTGACAAGGATAGCTGTCTAGTCGTTCGGATGGGACGAAAAAACTCGAAGTCCCGTGTATACATTGGCGTGCATTTAAAAGATCCCCTGTCAGTTGGAATTCGATATAAGAGTAGGCCATTATGCAAAATTTCCCTCATTAGCCCAGTTTAGGAGCAGAATAGTATGACGTTAAACCCCATTTCAATGTTTTCAAAACAAAGCAAACCATTCTATGTTTTTAATATTTGGGATAGCATGAACCTTATCAAAACTTACGAATATATAATCTGCCAATATCTGTCTTGCATCTTCCAGGGCTTGTTGTCGAAGTTTGATGACGTTTTCATATCGTTGTTTCGACCAATCGTTCGATGACTTTTCATCACTATATCCTACATATATTTTATTAACATTTCAATAATTAGATGAACAAACTTTTTGTATTCGGGGGTTCAAAATTATAGTTACGAAGAATAACATGGTCATTTTTACTCTTACTCTTATTTGATTGGGTTTTCAAAATGAAAGGGGTATAGTGCATCAGATAACGGAAAATAAAAAAAATATTCGAATATTGATACAAGTATCAAAATTGGCACAAATACACTTTGGGGATTACTTTTTGAAAACGTCCATCAGCCATTCTAAATCCAAGATGACGTCCCTTTCAAGATGGTCGACTTTCGGTCAAAGATTTATCATTTTCATACCATTTGTCCTATTTTAGTAATCCTCAACATAATCGGAAAAAGGTAATGGAATTTAAAGGGTCCACAAACTTTGTACAATTCACACTTTGCGTAGGCCTAGGCATGATTTCAATTTTTAGCGAATTGACCAGAAATGAAATCCTATAGAGAATCAAACATTGTACTCAGATGAAGCCAGTTATTTGTTCCATTTAACAGCGCTGTTAAGAAGTTAATAAATTGAAACCACTTTGTGTAGATCATCGCAAAACGGAATTGTCTTTTGACCCAATGTGCCCCGTATGTGGGGTACACCTGGTCACACTATGGTACACAGTTGGCCATCAAGTATGTTATTTTTCTTAAAATGTAGTAAACCCATTGAAACTCATTAGAACTGTTAAAACTTAACTTAGTTTAAAATATGAATTTGTTTTAAGACTTGGACACAGATACACAGTTAACAATTTCAACAAACAGCTTAACATTGAACACACAATTCTTAAAGGGGCATTATGGGAGATTAGATTAGATAAAGAGCTGGAGGTTCTCACTATAATAGTTAAAAACTATAAAGGGAATTTGCTGAAAATTTCAGTCAAATTGATCCACTCTGAACTGAGAATATAGGAAATTAGATAAAGAGCGGGCATTTCTCACTATGATAGTTCAAAAAACTAAATAATGTAAAGGGAATTTGCTGAAAATTTCAGTCAAATTGATCCACTGTGAACCGAGAATTTAGCGATTGAATTTTCAGCCTAGCCCCGGTCATCATTAGTAAAGTCGGGACGATATAAAAAAACAAAAAACATAGTCTCGATTATCCATTTCATGATTAAATTATGAATGAAAGTTGAGCAGCAAATCGGATCCTAATCAAGTAAAAATTGCAGGCTAGCGATGACATCGAGGGTTGATTATGGGTTGGATAACTTAATTAATGTCTAACTAATAATTTAGATAACATCTTGTAATTACATGGAAATAAGTAATTATGTTACAAACAGTGAAGTGTGGAACATTGAAATCTTATCTTACCGAACAGTTTTCCTATATTTTCGAGCTGACGTGAACTCACGTGCGTGTTCAAATTCTGGATTGGCGACCATTTCAAAAACAACAGAAAGATCCCGTAGTCGCTACCTGACCCAATCTTTTTGGGTTAAAATCTTGGTGATTAGAATTTTGGGTATCTGACCCTCAAAATACTATTTTAACCCAAAATTATCAGGTAGCCACTCTTGTGGGTCACTAACTGATCCAATCTTCTTTAGTCTGATTTAGATGTTCCTATTATTAATTAGAACAGGATTCGCTTTAGTTTATATATTTTACCTTGACATTTTATTGCTTTAAATCTTCCTAGTGCAAAAACGGAAAATTTGACCTTTTGACCTCAGGGGTCACAAAGAACAAAGGTGATTTAGCAAATTTACATTTTTATTGAAAGAATGATTACTTTCGATCATTTTCAGCATGTTTTCATGATACAAGAATTGCTGCACACTCACTTTCAATGCAAATGACCTCATTTGACCCCGAATATCTCGAAAACGTCCCAACGGCGGACTGATTACCACTCGGCAGCGTATTTTGTGCAACATTTTACTATAGAGTAGTTGGGTCTGCTTTTGTGCCCACTTGATGGACACCCCGCGCACTGAGCCTCCGGACTATATTGAAATGCTGCGTCTCAGCTTGTGGACACTTCCGAGAAATAATGTAAAGGTATGGTATGGTCCGATTTTGATGAAACTTTAAATTTATGTTTATGTCACAAAAATCTTGGTTCCTTTCGATAATCGCGCATATCGGAACGTAACTTCCAGGATTGTTCGGAAAATCGCGTTTTTAGCTTATGGACCCTCTAGAAATCCCAATTTGTATTCAATTTTAAAGACCGGTTAAATATATCACCATTACACCCCAATGAAGGTTGAGTTCGAATTTCGTAAACATGGCCACTCCTTGTACGCAAAAATTGTGTAAAAGTATGTAATACCAAGGTTTTGGGCCCTTTAGAAGTCACAATTTTTATCTTTTTATCCGATTTTGATCAAACTCAAAATATATGTATATCCAAACGATCTCGGTTCCTGTCGATATTCATGCATATCGAACTATAATTTCCTGGATTATGGCCCCTGATTTGTACAAAAAATCGCATTTATTTTTTAGCTTGATCTCTTTCCATCTTTTGCAAAATGTGGGCATATCTTGCCTGGCAACCGCTGGATTGTAGTCAAATGACTAAAAGAATTTCCCAAGAGAAGTCCTTAGAGCATAGACGTGAGGCATCTTTCTTATTTATAAGTCAGTTGGGAACAACGGTGGTTCAGTGAGTAAGACTTTGGCTCGCTAACCGGGAGGTCCCATGTTCGGTCATGGTGTTCATCGGGACTTCCACTATTTCGTGCTTCCGCTCTAATCCGTTTGACATCTTTCATACACACAAAGGCTAAATAAACATATTAAATTCCATTCAGTATGAAAATAGAAGAGAAATAAATACTTCTAAAAATTTCTAAAGGCATACTGAAATCGTCGATGTAGGAATTAAAATGTCGGTTAATTAGGTTAGGGCCTGTTCTCAGGCGGAGCTAACTGTAGACAGGCAGCCTAAGTTTGGGATGGTCAAAATCGTGTAAAAATCGTGACCTGTAGAGTGCCACAAACAAATTGTGGACGGACGGACCGACGGAAAGGGGCGACGGCATAATACGTCCACATGAAAATGTGGGCGTATAAAAATATAATGACCTTTCTGTGTATGATTAATGTCAACATCTACAGAATGATATTCATGTTGAACAGCCGTCAACCATTCTTCTAATACAGCTGTAGAATTATCTATATTATGGTCACTTCGGATCCTAAAAAATATAAAGATAAATTACATCCATCAACTATTGGTGAAGCTAAATTGAGGTCCCCTGGGGGTATGGCAAGGAGCAGTGGTGCCTAATATAGCTGTAGAATTATCTATATTATGGTCACTTCGGATCCTAAAAAATATAAAGATAAATCACATCCATCAACTATTGGTGAAGCTAAATTGAGGTCCCCTGGGGGTATGGCAAGGAGCAGTGGTGCCTAGTCGTCGTTGGTATGGTACGAAACGCCGAGGTTCTGCGTACACGTTAGCGTATACGTTAAAAAAAACTATATGTGGGCGTTTTTTTATGGTTCGGTGATTATTGTGCTGGTTCAATGTCAGCTGATCGTTTACGTGCACTCAGGTGATCGTCCATCTGTGCGACTATACGTTGTCCCTTGCCAGGCCCTATGTACTGCACCACTGACAAAGGAGAACCAAGCCGAAAAATCCCGATAAACTTTGCCCGCCAACGTAGTGACAGAACCTCGGAACCTCCAAGTTAGCGAACCAACGTCTTACACACTAAGCCACTGTGGCCTCAAATATGAAAAGAAATTTAACATCCTACTTTTCTGCACCGACTTGGACAATATTTGCCCGGACAGCGGCACTACGACCTACTCTTATTTCGAATTCCAACTGTCTAGGGTTCTCTTGCGTGCACGTTGATGTGTAGGTCTACCAGGGACATCGGGTTTTCGTCCCATACGAACGACTACGTTGTCCTATGCCAGCCCCCCCCCCCCCGTCCCACACCACTAACAAGTGGTATCTATGTGGGAAAATCCCGATGCATTTTCTCAGCCGACGTAGGAATCAAACATGAACCTCCAGGTAAGCGAGCCAATAGTAAATACACTTCCCACACATAAGTAAAGATATGGATTTATAAGAAATGAAATGAAATGAAATGAAATGAAATGGGGTTTAACGTCTTACTGTTGAATTGAAATTTAAACATATTTTTTATTGATCTTAAATCTTTAAAGGGATGAGAAGACAAATGAATTCACTTACAAAGCTCTTCTCCCTACAAATACGGGGTCACGGTGGCTAAGTGGGTAGGACGTTTGCTGGAGGTCGGGTGTTCGATTCCTGCATTGGCCGAGAAAGTTCATTCAGATTTTCCGGCGTGGTTCCCCCCTTATCAGTGATGCAGGATGGAGGGCCTGACAAAGACAGCTGTCTAGTCGTTCGGATGGTACGAAAAACCGAGGTCCCGTGTACACATTGGCGTGTACGTAAAAGATCCCTTGACAGTTGACATTAGATATTAGAGTAGGCTGTAGGATCTGTCGTAGGCATTTGTTAATGAAGACCTGTAGATCATTTCTGTTTTCTTGGTTTGTTTCAACGTCTCTGATCCGCACAGTAGAACTGATTTGACGTTGGTCTCAAAGATCCCCGGTTTCCTGATGTTTTTATTCTTCCAGATGCATTTGAGAGTTACAAAGGCATGTCTGGCCTTCCCAAGTCTCGCCTTGATGTCCTCAACGGCGCCCCCATTCTTGGAGACTGTGCTTCCCAAATAGGTGAAATTGCTGACGTCTTGAATGGAATTGTCGTCAAGCACGATGACATGTGGTTTTGGGTGTTCAGTCTCAGGGACTTGGTTTTATTGGTGTAAATTTCCAGGCGAGTTGATTTCGCTGTTTGGTACAGGGCTATTGTTTTCTGTTGTATTTGCTGGAATTGGTGGGATAGTAGGCTCACATAATCTGCAAAGTCAAGGTCTTCCAGCTTGGCAGTGAGTGACCATTGGATGCCTCTAGGTGGTGTCACTGAGGTTTTCATAATCCAGTCAATAGCAATTGAAAAGATTAGGGGTGACAGTAGACAACCTTGACGTACTCCTGTATGTACACTGAAATGAAATGAAATGAAATGAAATGGGGTTTAATGTCCTACTCTTCTGCACCTAACCTGGGCTAATTGAAGACGGGCATACGCCATACAGTGTGCTATGAGGGAAATTTAGCCCGGGCAGCGGCGCTACGGCCTACTCTTATATCGAATTCCAACTGCCAAGGGATCTTTTACGTGCACGCCAATATGTACACTGAAGGATGGTGAGAGTGTAGAACTGTGGATGACCTGACATTTGTTGTTCTTGAAGAGCCCATGTATTAACTTGTGAGGAATGCCGCAGTGCCGGAGTATTTTCCAGCGTGTCTCCCTATCGACCATATCAAACGCCTTCTTGAAGTCCACGAAGTTGATAAATAAAGGTGATTGCCATTCTATAGACTGCTCGATGATGATACGCAGTGTGGCGATTTCGTCTGTGCAAGATCGGTCGCGTTGAAACCCTGCTTGTTCATCCCGGAGGTTTGCATTTTTGTTATAAATCATTATTTGCTTGATAACGAGATCTGTATGTGTATCGAAACGTAGCATGTTTATAAATTCAGAAGTAGTATATCCATATAAGTGTTTTTAATTAATTAATAAACTGCAATTTTAATAATTACAGCTGCAATTTTAATTGTAATTGAATTCATATTTATAAAGTTACAAAAAAATTATAATTGACTTGTGCACGGATACTTATATTTACGTTTTATCTTTCTAATTATAATGCCTTTTTGTTTTCTACATTTAAACTTTACTATTAACAATAATATATAATTTTTACAATATGCTATTTACAATCTAAACTATATACAAATGCGGCTACCTCTTTCTATTTAGTATATAGCAATATTAGTATTAGATAAATCTGTTGCTTAATTTTATAAATGTTTGCACAGATTTAAATATGGAGACGTTTGGTTGGGCTAATGAAGACGGGCATACACCATACAGTGTGCTATGAAGGAAATTTTGCCTGGGCACTACTGCCTTCTCTTATAGCAAATTCGAACTGCCAAGGAATCTTTTACGTGCACACTAATGTATACATGGGACCTCGATTTTTCATCCCATCCTATCGCCCCACTAGGTTGCTGGTACTTAGATATACATATACAAAATGCTCATGCCATTCTTTAAAGAAGTTTAAATGTGCTTTATTATAAGAATATCACAAACTGTGTAACTGTAACGAATTGCACTTTTATTAGTTGGTTTATTCTCAGAACAAGCGTAACAAAATATTTTTTGCTTAGCTTCGCTTGGCATAAAGTTGGTTTGCTCCCAACCTTTTCAAAATTCTTGCAAATAAATTAAAATATATAATTTGTACGTACCAAAATGATATTCTATTTTTAGGATAATCAAACTTTTCTATCAGGCCCAGGAACCAGGGCAATGTGTGAGCTTTGTTTCGAACTAAAAAAGCTATAACTACACTTGGTGGCTGTGTTTCGGTGTCCTTAAGAAAGGTTCTTCTAGCAGAAGATATTCTTGCAACGAAACCTTGATAAAATAATACGCATACACAACTAAACGTTAATAAAAATAATAAATGTAGTTTCTTTACCGGACGAAATAAACGCCCTAGATCAAAGATAGCCATCGCAGTCGCCAACTGTCACACAAATAAGTTAACCATTTCGAGCTAATATTTTATTACTTTAAATATGATCGATATTTACAATGCACATATATTTTACCGTGATTGAAATCCGACATCTCTCCCCTCAAAAGGCAAAACCTAGTAACTCACTTTTTTCATATTTTGAGAAAACAAAGGAAAATGTAATGAATGAATATTAAACGCCAGCTCATCCATTGATTTGACTATTGAGTTACTCGGTTTTGCTGTGGTATACTAGGCAAATGAAGGGAGTTGCTAGGTTATGTAATGGGTGTAACTGCTTACAAAATCAAAAGATTGGAATATCTAGTACAACAACATTAGGCACATACCCTAGTAACTACAAATTTGGTCCTAACTCAATTTTGATAAAAAAAAAAGTGAGTTACTAGGTTTTGCCTTTTGACGGGAGATCTGGTCACTCAAAATCACACTTTCTTCCATACGGTCAAAGGCGGGGTAATGATGATATCAAATGTCTATCTGGGTCCTGTTTCTCGAAATCTTAACTAAAGATAAAATCCAAATTTTGGTAGATACTTCAATTTTGATTGGCTAAGCATTAAAATCATTCTAATATTATCCAATCAAATTACTAAAATTTGGATTATATCTTAGTAGGGATGGGCGATGGTTCTCAAAAACAAATCCAAAATTGGACTCGGTATGTTCAATTTTACTTCTTGTATCAATTTTATCAGCCATTCAATTCTAGAAGGGACCTTTTGAAGTTGTCACAAACTGGTCGGGACGGACACAAACAAGCGGTTTTTATGACATGTCTCTATCGAGTTTTTGAAGCATTATACTTCGGAGTCTAACGCTGAATATCGATAGGGTTCGTCCTCTGATGAACACAATGTTTCACACCAAATTTGAAAAAAAGATGTTAGCCTCTATAGCGTTCACTATGTTTTCAGTAGTAACTCAGGAACGCAAGTCTGTGGAGTTCTGATTATACATGTAGGTAGGGTTCATTCCTGCCTGATAGACGAACGGACCACCAGAGGACAATAATCGATAGGTTTCGTACTCCAGAAAGTTACTGTCCGATATGTCAGCAAAATAACGGACGTCCGGATGGACAGGAGGGACGGCATAATAACTTCCGCATGAAAATGTGAGGTAATATAAATTGACAGATTTATATTTTTAACCGCCTACCAGTATCATTGGCAGTCCAAATAAACACCACACCACATACCACAACGGCATTGGTGGTACTTCACTAATTGGGTAATCAAATGCAAAAATAATAATTCAGCCCCTAAAATATGATAGTTTTGTAGCTTTTGGCTTTGGATCTTCAATTATCTAATTGGTCAAATATGATGTAAATAATTACAGAGATTGGTCAAATAAGCCAAATGATGCAATCGTAAATTTCCGTCACACGTTTTTCGACACAATCTATCCTTGAACTTAGAACCCCTTTCCTGTTATTCTCACGCTATTTCACAAACAATTAATTTGCGTTTTAAATAAACTCATACCATAGCTAATATACTGACAATAGAGAATAATTTTTAAAGATAAAAAATGTTGTTTAACACCATCTTATTTCTCTATTCCTTGTCTATAAATTTAAAAACAATGTCGCAACGACGATAGTGCTACAAAAGTACAGAAAGGTGTGATCCGTCGCTGAAATAATAAAGAAAAAAACAATACCGAAAGTGTGATGTGTATGGTTCGGCGAATCGACCGCCGTTACAATTCATCCCACAAACGAAGGAAAATATATTTTCTAATCATCTCCTGTGCAATACATGTAGTACCATTCTGACATTTATTACAAATTAATATATCATTTCAAATTCCTAACAATTACTCGAAGAGGTGTATAGATCCAGAGTACTTTGGCCAAATGAACAAGGTACCTATATTTGGGTATAGGATATGGATAATCGGATATGGATGTCTGCCAGGGTCCAGTTTCCGCGCGTGGCCTAGAAGCCCCAAAGAGGTGCCAAAAATTCGGTGGGATGGATCAAACACTGGAGATTCCACACAGAACCAATTTAATATGAACAGCCCCCCCCCCTCCCGACGTCCCACAGGGGTCTCAAATTTGGGGATAGATCTAACAATGAACGTACCACATGAAACAAAAGATAATATGAACAATAAAACCCCCAAATTGGAATTGAAATTTACAGGTGCATTTCATTGAGAGCAAAACATTCTATACCAGTCAAATTTTCCTCTGCACAACAAAACCCATACTCCTCGCAGTGTTTCGTTTGATTAGAGCTAATCCCACTACTCACTGCTGTAAAGAAGGCAAATTCTTGTTCTAAATTATGACTGGTCAATAGTCCGATTAACAACCAATAGCTAACTTCGTAACAATACCAAACATAGCTCCAAATTGGACCAAATATGTTTACATAACGTTACGTCATGACTCACGATTTTATTATGCCCAATTAACCAGTGCATAGCAGAATATTGCAGAAAAACTAATTGTGTGACAAACGAAGCTATCGGCACAGTAAATAATGTCAACAATACTGTTTTGAGTCGAACAACACTTTCACCGTTTTTAATACCTTAAATCACTGTCCAAAGGTTTAGGGGAGGCCCCTGATTAAAAGAAGGGTTGTCATGTTGCTGTGATTGGGGATAGATTTGATTGAACGGGAAGAATAAACACACTCCCTCAAAAGCGAAAGTATCAGAAGCTAATCCAGCAATGGCCAGAGAGGGATTTCTCGGGCCATTGCTTCAGGAATGTGAACAAAACCCCACCTCCCCAAGTTGCTGTAACCACGGCCTCGAATAGCAGAAAAATGCATATTAATTTGTGACCGTCAAATATTAAAAATTTTCTGACAGGGGATAATTATTATGATTTTTAAATTGAGCCCGTGCCTCTATATTCGGGAATACTTTACATGACATGAATAATGATTAGTATACATATAATATGTAAATCCTAAGGTCTCTGTTGAAATAAATGAGTTATTTTCTAAATACAGAACTACAGATACCTGTGGTGACCCGTCGTATATTATACGAGCACTGATCATTGTGTTTGGATTTTAATTAAAAGACATTTTTAGCAGTATAGTATAAATAAGTATGATTTAGATTGCAATACAAATGTCGATTCTTTGATAAATGTAGTACCGACAGCTGGTTTATATTGCAATAAAAGGGATTATAAAGGTATAAGATCTTTAGTATGTTAGGCATGCGTCAAGCTGCTTATTACAGTTTTGTGGATTTACTACTTCTTATGTTTTATTACATAAATCGATTTATACTCTTACTTTTTTTTAAAACACATCCTGGTTCATTAATCATGGCTTTTAGTTTAGAATTATAAACGTATGATGCGAGTCCATGAAACATCCACCAAAGTTATATCGTGTGATGCCTGGACTATTACAATATATATATTTCTAAACAAAACATACATCATATTTTAGTCACTATAACCCAACATATGTTTGACCTGGATAGATATATTTAATACAACCCCAAATTCGACATGCGATTGTACAAAAGCAAAAGAGCGCATCGGGTTCTGATGATGGTATCGAAACGTACCCAAACGTATCTGCACGTACTAGATCGTGGGTGTATCTGCTCGTATCTGAACGGGAGACCAGACTATGTCACCTGAAATTGACGAGTCGTGACCATATCGCATCAAGGCACACCAAATCGTACCAGAATGTATCGACTTGCACCACCTCATATCCAAATGTGAAATTTCAGAGAAGTATATAAAAATTCCACGATCAGCTACAAATGGCCAATCGTCGCGTCCGAAACGCATAGCACGACAGTGGGAACCTAGCATTATAGAAGAAAAAATAGTCGGAGGTGATACAGTGTAGCCAATATTAACTGAATTTACAGGAGAAATAGGTTGAATTGAGCAGCCTTTCAACAGGAGTATGATGTTGTCGGTTGATAGGGAGGTATCTCCCCTGTGTACATTGGTTAACAAATCTTCAACACATCTAACAATCTTCCCGAGGTTTGGAATATTCTGCAGTTTCTTATAGAATTCACCCGAATCTTTAATGAAGGACGATGCTGTTGTGCCAAGTAAGGAAAGTAGGTTTTGGGCTGTGTTGTACAAGATTAAATCTCGGGAACACACTAACAGGCGGGCTTTCATAGGTTTTTTATGGAATTTTATAATAGCCCTGGAATAAGGTGGTCGAAGGTGGTTGGGTCTGAGTCTGTCTTAGCGAGCGTCAAAGATCTGTTTTTCTTCTTTCATTTTTATAGCAAGTATTCATGGCTGTCCTTGTGTGTGCTTATGGAATCTTTGCGGATTCTTCTATATGTCGCCAGATCTTGGTGGTGAGGTACCATCAGCATTCGTGACCACAGTTGCCTTTCCTTTGTCAGCGGAAACAATTGTGATGGTTCTATCACCTTTAAAGTCATTCAGGGCTTTCTTTTTTTGATGGATGTTTAGTGTTTGCTTTTGTTAGTATCTCAGTTATTTTGGTGCCTTAGATAATCGACTTTACCACCTTTCTCAATGTTGGTATGTGTCATGGTTGAGGGACTTTGTGGTCGATGACAAAATAGTGGTTTGGTCATCGGTTAAGACGCGATCACTATAGTTGACTACTGTTTTGGTTAGGAATTCTTCTCTACATTGGCTGGTACTATTCGAAACAGGGCGCCGAGATAATGGAGATATGAATTTATTAAATGTATCCATCTGCTTCTTTTTTATATTTCCATCCAACACTAACATGGCATTCTAGCTGATCTGTTTTTCTGTCACTGTCTCGTAATCTTTTTGAGAAGTTGTGGATTGGAGCAGCTGATTAAACGGTGCTTCTGAATTCTATTGTGTTAGATCTTTTAGCGAACTAAGCATTTGCTCGCTTTCGCGAGTATCTTCAACGGAGCAGGTGAGGTAACTAAGGATTTAATAATTAGCCCTTGGGTACTATAACGGCATCGCATTAAGAAAGTAAGATTGTTGCATGCACATATTTTCCTTCTGTTAGATGA